TCTCCGTGCCGACGTTCTGCAAAAACCGGCCTCCGTGCCACTAGTCGGTCTCCGTGACGACGTTCTGCAAAAACCGGCCTTCGTGCCACAAGTCGGCCCGCGTGCCGACGTTCTGCAAAAACCGGCCTTCGTGCCACAAGTCGGCCCTCGTTCCGACGTTCTGCAAAAACCGGCCTCCGTGCCACTAGTCGGCCCTCGTGCCGGCCTTCTGCAAAAACCAGCCTCCGTGCCACTAGTCGGTCCCCGCACCGACGTTCTGCAAAAAAAAGCTACTGTGTTGCAAGTTGAATTCATTGAAGAAGCCTCCCCGGGCGAAATTGCAAAACTGAAGAGAGTCAACTAGCCGGAAAATTTTTAAAGTAAGACAAGCTTCCCAACGATTATCTTTCCAGGAAACATTTTGTAAACAGGGTTGATATGGGATATTATACCCACAAGGCTGAACTAGTCTGTTAACCGGTCGAGGAGGTCATATTATGAGGAAGCCAAAGGAATCGAGCAATTAACAAGTCGACCAAGTAAGGTTGTCGACTGAATTATCCTTCGACCAGATACGCGATCGAGCAATTTATTCGACCTCATCAGGTCGATTACTTCGAGGACTTAACACCACGTTGTTCGGCCTAGTCACAGGCGCATGAAGGAAGCCTCTGACAGAATTCCAGGAGAATATTTACCCCATGTGCAGGGGGACACGTGTCGAGAAAGCAGTGGTGGATAGCAATAACCGCCTCTGACAGCATATCCCATGTGCAGGAGGACACGCGTCCAAAGGGGATTGGTGCAGGCGATAGTGGCGACGGCTACCTCTGACACACGCGTTTGGTGCGTACGGACGGGCAGTTAGGGCAGACAGCTCATCAAATCCGGGCAGCCCTAGGTCAGGTATCTCACCTCTATATAAAGGGGGGTGAGCCTTTCTTCGTCAACACGATCATTCTATTACTTTTGAGAATTGATTGAATACACACTGACTTAAGCTTCGGAGGCTCTTCACCGGAAAACCCCTCCGGTGTGAGAGTTCTTTGTAGGTGCACGACGTTCAACCGGCGAGAAGGAAGGCGATTACTCAAGTTCCAGTCGGTCGAGGAGTTTTGTGTTACCATTTGGCGCCGTCTGTGGGACTTTCGTTGCAAAAGGTGTGCTTGAAGCTCAGCTATGGCGGACGGAATTCCCAAAAACTTACAGTCAACGTTCGATGATGCTTGGACGACGACCAGGCCGTTGGGGCAAGGTCCTCCTCCGGGTTTTTCAGGCCCATCGCAGACGCCGATTACTCCCGCACCGGTGCTCCAAGGTGTAGGTGCGGCAACAGCGATCCCTGGAGGAAATACCGGCCCCAACCATGCCCAGGAGGCCCGCGCAGCAGACGCGGCGGCGATGCTACCACCACCACCACAAAATCTGGCAGTAGTGCAACCAGGAGGGACAGGAGAACAACAGGGAGGAGCTGCGGCCCAAGGAGGAGCACCGCCGCGAGCAGCGGTTCAGGTCCCCGACCAACCGGTGGTGATGACCAGGCAGGAGATGCAACAAATGGTGGCGGAGGCAGCGGCCCAGGCGGTTCAACAAGTTACAAACAGTCTTTCTCGGGCTACGACTGCGCCGAATACTGTTGCAGGGTCACGACAAAATGCGGAGGAGGATGAATCCAGCTATGGCGGAGGCGGGCCCGCACATGACCGGGAGATGAAGAGGATGGCGGAGCAGCTCCGCCAATTGCAGGCTAAGGTGGATGGTCGAGAAGAGAGGCGCGCTCGAGGACATCCCTTCTCGGCGGACATACTGGCAGCGCCTTTGCCAAATAATTACAAGGATACCAACCTGGTGTTCGATGGAACCTCTGATCCGTCGAGACACGTAAGGACGTTTGAGAATATGGCTGTGTTGCATGGATACACTGATCCCGTTAGTTGCAGGGCTTTCTTATCGACCCTTAGGGGAGGGGCGCTCGACTGGTTCCAACAGCTCCCCCCTGGCTCGATAGTGGACTTTGGAGATTTTGCAGAAAAGTTGACAAATCAATATTCGAGCGCGGTGGCTCAGGAGAAGACGTATTTGACATTGATGGCGATGAGACAAGGCGAGAAAGAGTCATTGCGCAAGTATGTTGCTTGATATAATCAGGCTTGTTTGGAGATCCCATCGGCGGTCGACGAGGTCAAGGCGGGAGGATTGATAAGGAGTTTGCGGGCGGGGCCATGTAGAACTTCTTTGGCTAAGACCCCTGCCCACACGTATGATGAGGTACTGAGAAGGTGTAGAAAGTATATCAATCTCGAGGAGACCGAGGTGGAGTTTGCCAAGCTCGAGGAATTAGGTCGAGGGGAGTCGAGGAAGGAGAAGACGGCCTCGCCCAAAAGGAAAGCCTCGCCCAGGAGGGAGGGGCGAGCTAGACAAGATCGAGGGCGAGAGGATAGGTGGAAGGACCGACCCATCTCTGGAGGAAAGAGATTCCATGATTACACCCCGTTGAACGCAAAGGTAGCCGAGGTTCTGGTAGCTATGGAAAAGAGGATAGATGAGAAAGACGTGACGTGGCCCAGGTCGAGGTTCGAAGGGCCCACCCAACCGAAGTCGAGGAGATACTGCCGCTTCCACAAAGACTATGGCCACACTACTGAGGATTGTCGGCACCTCAAGGACGAAATTGAACGCCTCATTCGAGCAGGACACCTCAAGGAGTTTGTTTATCAGGACAAGGGAAGGAAGAAGGAGAAGAGAAGGTGTCGGGAGGACTCGGTAGAGAGGAGTGAGGAAGATGATGATGAGGATGCACGAGGTGGTCGATATGGTCGAAAACGAGATGAGGGAAAGAGGAGGCGAGGAAGTAGAGAGCGGGAAAGAGAAGGGGATGAAGGCCAGGTGAAGAGAGGCACGATATATATGATCTCGGGAGGACCGACGGACGGGGACTCAAACAATGCGAGGAAAGGTCACGTTCGAGCAATGAAGAGGAAAAGGGAGGAGGTGAGTATCACGGCCCGAATGCCGGTGATAAGTTTTAAAGCGGAGGATGCCGAAGGAGTGGTCCTGCCACATAATGATGCTTTGGTGATAACCGCAGAGGTCGCAGGATTTGATGTGAAGAGGGTGTTCATTGATACCGGGAGTTCGGTAGATGTGATGTTTTACGACTGTTTTGTACAGATCAATAGGGAGCTGAATATGGACCTGAAACCGGTAACCACGGCGCTGTACGGTTTTAATGGAGGAGAGGTTATGCCGATGGGAGAAGTCAGCCTGCCCGTGGCATTGGGAGCAGGAGAACTGAGAAAGGTGCGCATGGTGAGATTCGTGGTCGTAGGCGCTGAGTCATCCTATAACATCATCATGGGACGAACGAGCTTGAACGCATTCCAGGCGGTCGTATCCACGTACCACATGACGATCAAATATCCGGTGGGCGAAAACGTAGGGGAGATCGCCGGGGATCAGCTCACTTCAAGAAGTTGCTATCAAACAACAGTCAGCAATAACAGACAATTGGCGAAAAGGCAGGCCGAGTCAGGAGGGGGATCAAGGTCGAAGGAAAACAGGCAAAAGGTGGAGAAGGGCAAGGAGAAAATGGATATCCAACCCGGAGAGGAAGTCGAGGAGGTTCAGATGATTGAAGGGTGTGAAAAGAGAAAGTTTAGGATAGGAAGGGACTTGGGAGAGCCGGTTCGGTCGAGGCTGATCCAGTTGGTGAGGGAGTTCGCGGATATTTTTGCCTACACGGCAGAGGAGCTGACGGGGATAAGTGCGGAGGTGATTGAGCATCGGCTGAACATCGACCTCAGCGTGAGGCCGGTGAAGCAGAAGAGAAGGCATCATGGGGCGGAGATGGATAAGATTATCGAGCAGGAAGTCGAGAAGCTATTGGGAGCACGACACATTAAGGAGATTCAGTTCCCCGAATGGCTCTCAAACACGGTGATGGTGTCGAAAGCGGAAGGGAAGTGGAGGATGTGCATTGATTTTCGTGATCTAAACAAAGCATGCCCGAAGGATTTATATCCGCTTCCTAGGATCGACCAGCTCGTCGACTCCACGGCAGGTTGTGAGCTGCTTAGTTTGATGGACGCATCCCAAGGGTATCATCAGATCCCGCTGGCTCGCGAGGACTGGAAGAGGGTCAGCTTTGTGACAAGTCGGGGAACATACTGCTATGTGGTGATGCCCTTCGGTCTAAAGAATGCGGGGGCGACGTATCAGAGGTTGGTGGATAAAATCTTTAAGGAGCAGCTGGGAAGAAACATGGAGGTGTACGTGGATGATATGCTGGTGAAGAGCAAAGATGAGATTGACCATGTGAACGACTTAAAAGAAACATTCATGACCCTCCGGAAGTATGGGATGAAGTTGAATCCCGCTAAGTGCTCGTTCGGGGTCAAATCTGGAAAATTCCTGGGCTATATGGTCACAAGGAGGGGGATCGAGGTCAACCCAGAGAAAGTGAGGGCGGTCATCGAGATGCAGCCCCCCACGAAGGTGAAGGAAGTGCAGATCTTAACTGGCCGAATAGCGGGTCTGAGCCGTTTTATTTCCAAGGTGGCTGAGAAAAGCGGGCCCCTATTTAAGACACTCCGGAAGAGCTTGAAGTTTCAATGGACAGAAGAGGCGCAGAAAGCGTTCGAGGAGTTGAAGAGGATGTTGGTCGATCTGCCACTGTTAGCAAAGCCGGCGCAAGGGGAGGACTTGGTGTTATATATATCCATCGGTGAGGCGGCAGTGAGCTCTGTGTTATTGCGGGAGGAAGGAGCAGCCCAATTTCCTATTTACTACGTAAGTAAGGTGATGCAAGGGGCGGAAAGGAGGTACTCAGAGATCGAAAAGGGGGCCTTGGCAGTGGTGGTCACTGTAAGGAAGCTAAGAATATATTTTTTGGAACATAGGGTGAAGGTCCGAACGAACATGCCATTGGGAGAGACGCTGGGTCGACCTTCCGTGTCGGGGCGTTTAGTCAAATGGGCGGTCGAGTTAAGTGAATACGCAATTGTCTACGAGCCAAGGAGAGCGATTAAGGCCCAAGCGTTGGCTGACTTTATTCAAGAGGGGACGAAGGAAGGTGAGGAGCTCGAGGGGGTATGGAAAGTGTTTGCAGATGGATCGGTGTCGAGGGCTGGAGGTGGCCTAGGCATCGTGCTTATGTCGCCAAGAGGCGATAGCTTGGAGTTCGCAATTAAGGTGGCCTACCAAATATCAAACAATGAGGCGGAGTACGAAGCGGTCATTACAGGACTCAAACTGGCCTTAAGTGGCGGGGCTCGAGCAGTGCAGGTGCATTCAGACTCACAGTTGGTCGTGGGCCAATTCCAGGAGGGGTTCGAGGTCCGAGAGGAGAGGATGATGAAGTATGTGGAGGAGATAAAGAAGCTGCAGGGAGAGTTTGATTCCTTCGAATTAATCCAAATACCTCGAGGAGAAAATGGTCGAGCAGACCTGTTGGCTAAAATGGCACAAAGTTTGGTAGATTGCAAGAGCAGAAGTGTGACCTTGCTGCACATGGAGAAGAGTGTGGTTGAGAAGGAGGTGGTCGAGATAGAAGAGGTGGAGGACTGGAGGGCGCCGATAATGAAGGAATTGAAGGGGGGAACTGTTAAAGCGATAAGAAGATTCTTCGAGCATGGAGGAATCCTATATAAAAGGTCACACGCAGGTCCCCACTTGCGATGTGTAGGCAGAGAAGAGGGGCGTTATGTGCTGAAAGAAATTCATGAGGGCTGCTGCAGCGACCACAGCAAGGCAGGCTCCTTGGTGGCAAAGGCCCTACGGGCAGGATATTTCTGGCCGACCATGAGGGAAGATGCCAAGGAGATGGTGCGGAAGTGTTTGCAATGCCAGAAGCACGGCCCACTCATTCACCAGCCGGCCGAAGCTATGACAACGATGAGTTCTCCCATCCCATTTGCCCAATGGGGAATCGACCTGGTCGGACCTATGCCCCAAGGAACTGGACAAAGAAAGTTTTTGATTGTGGCGGTTGATTACTTCACGAAGTGGGTGGAAGCCGAGCCCCTGGCAAAGATCACGGAGGAGAAAGTGATACATTTCCTATATGATAACATATGTTGCAGATTTGGAGTTCCCAAGGTGTTGGTGTCAGACAACGGGACCCAGTTCAACGGCAAGCGGATCCGAGCATGGTGTGAGGATATGAAAATCGACCAACACTTCGCTTCGGTCGCACACCCGCAGGCCAATGGGCAAGTGGAGGTAACCAACAGAATCATATTGAACGGACTGAAAGCAAGATTGGACAGGGCATCGGGGGCGTGGGTGGATGAGCTTACTTCGGTGCTGTGGGCGTACAGAACAACACCCCGATCGACCACTGGGGAAACACCGTTTAGTATGGTATACGGCATGGAGGCCCTGTTACCTATAGAGGTCGAAGTTCAGTCCCAAAGGTCGAGCACGTATGATCGAGAGCATAATGAGCACCTGATGCTAGCAGCGCTCGACACAATTGAAGAGCTTCGAGAAAAGGCGACAATCAGGGTTGAGGCGTACAAACAAAGGGTACGAGCAGCGCATGACAGGAAAGTGAAGACACGAAGATTCCAGGTGGGTGATTTGGTTTGGAAGAGGGTCGATGTGCTGAAACACGTCGGGAAATTAGAGCCAAACTGGGAAGGACCATACCTGGTCGAGAAGGTCCATGCTGGAGGAGCATACTCTTTAAAGGATGCTGAAGGAAGATCTCTAGCCAGGTCATGGAATGTGGCTAATTTAAAGAAGTATTATGCTTGAAATTTTTTCTTTCTTATTTACTACCGCCAATGTAATGAATTGCTTCGCTCGATGATGAATGAGATGGCGTATTGAAGTTTCTTCAAATTACTGTTTACCAAATTTACTTTATGAATAGTCGATATTCTTGGATTAACCTTGATGACAGGCCGAATATGGAAAAACCCATCATGATTAAGGCCATGAGGCTGGATGGTCGTATGTAACGACCACCTCTTTGAAGGTGGGCATGCGTTTCCAACAAAAACCCATCATGATTAAGGCCATAAGGCTGGATGGTCGTATGTAACGACCACCTCTTTGAAGGTGGGCATGCGTTTCCAAGAAAAACCCATCATGATTAAGGCCATGAGGCTGGATGGTCGTATGTAACGACCACCTCTTTGAAGGTGGGCATGCGTTTCCAAGAAAAAACCCATCATGATTAAGGCCGTGAGGCTGGATGGTCGTATGTAACGACCACCTCTTTGAAGGTGGGCATGCGTTTCAAAATAAAAAAAAGCCATCATGATTAAGGCCATGAGGCTGGATGGTCGTATGTAACGACCACCTCTTTGAAGGTGGGCATGCGTTTCAAAATAAAAAAAGCCATCATGATTAAGGCCATGAGGCTGGATGGTCGTATGTAACGACCACCTCTTTGAAGGTGGGCATGCGTTTCAAAATAAAATAAGCCATCATGATTAAGACCATGAGGCTGGATGGTCGTATGTAACGACCACCTCTTTGAAGGTGGGCATGCATTTCAAAATAAAAAAGCCATCATGATTAAGGCCATGAGGCTGGATGGTCGTATGTAA